TCTGGCAAGGCCCAGATCGCCGATCATCCGACTGCACGTGAGAGTGACACTCGCCAGAGTGACCTTTTGGTGCGGGCTCACCGGGGACCCCCCAATCGCTGAGCGCACTGCGATAGTGGCTGCTTGCGCGCTTGGATTCGGCCACCTTGCGCCCCCTTAGTCGGTGCGCTAGAGGTCACTCTTGCCAAGGGTCACTCTTGTGTGCAGCCGAGTCATCATTGCTTCTCGACTCTTGACCCTCGGCCCTCGATGCTCGAACGTCTACGACATCGACGACATCCTCATCATCCTGCGCCTCCCTTTTCCCCTGCTCCCTCAAACTCCGGCGCCCCAAACTTTGGGCCTCTCAAACATTTGTCAAGTCCATCTTGTTGCCAGCAATATGAGTCTGATGTGCACGTCTCTGAATAGCTCAACTTGTCTCTGCACCAACTCAAGAGGTATTCCGTGACACCTGCGTCGTACCCTTGCAATGCTTGCTCACACTGGAGATTGCTTCTGATGGCCACCATCTCACTCGGATCAAATCGAGCATGCAAGTGTTCCTTGTCTGGATGCTGTGCTAACAAAAAATCTGGCGCCCCACAGAAATCCGCTCGAACCGTTTGAACAGACGTCGCAGGTCCTTGGCCAAGAGCTGCCTCCTCCAGGGGCCCGTGAGTCCGCTCAAGATCGGCCCCCGGAATCCTCCCAGAATGCTAACATTTGTCGCGCCGTTTTTTCAACACGTTGGTTGGAAGTATCGATTGGGGGCCCCTCTGAGCTGACTTGGGGCCGATCGGCGACGGCAGTTTATATAGTTGTGTTCCCTTCCTCCAGGAGTGGCTCCCAAGAGGTCGAACATTGCGACAAACGATATGTCCAACACCTCGAACCTCGATCGATCGATCGATCAACGGCCCCAGGACCATGGCCGCCCGAATGGGGCCCGAGGGGGTGGGGTCGGAGGACAGGGCCGCATCGCCGATGAACCAGCGACGCGACTCGACTCTGAGCTCGACTTCTCCATGCCGACGTTGTCGATGCATCGCTGATGCAACGGCGATGCGGCGCTAAACATCCTCCGACCCCATTTGCTCGGATCTCATCTGGCCACTTCCAGAAGCCCGCCGCCTTCCCCTGGCCCTCCTTCTTCGCCAACACCACGCCTGCAAGTTACCGGGATGGGGCACCTCGTGGCGGGCCTCGCCAAGAAGTCAAGCGGGAGCGGCGCGACGGAAGCACTCAAGATCCCGTCGGGGGGCCAAGAGGAAGCACGCACGGGGGCCGCGGGGGACAAGGAGGGCGGATTGGCCCATCTCCACCGCCAGCGTGCCACCCTACGTGCTCCCGCCTCTGTGGGAGCAGCGCCGCAGGGACAGCCCCCCCGCCCTCCCCCCTGAAGGAAGAGCGGGAGGGCGCTACCCGAGCATGCAAAGAGACCAGACCAGCAGCAAGAGAGCCCCAACTCGTACCGCCGCCTCTGCCCGTCGATGGGGGAACGAACAATGACATAAACAAAAACTCGGAGGTCCGCGCGGATTTCTCAGATCCGCGCTGGGGCCCCCTGGCGGCGCCTCCAGCGCAGCCCCTGGTGAGCTCCGCGCGCCAGGGAGAGGGGTCCGGCGCGGATCCGAGTAATCCGCGCGGACCTCCGAGTTTTTATGTTTATGTCATTATTCGTTTCCCTAGTCGATCCCAAACTGAAGGGCAGTGTGAAGCAGAACAGGTCGAGCGAGCCGAAGGCGGTGACAGAGGAGGAGGAGGAGGAGGAGGAGGAGGAGGAGGAGGAGGAGAGGAAGGAGGAGGAGAGGAAGGAGGAGGAGGAGGAGGCGGAGGAGGATGAGGAGGAGCAGGGGAGGAGGGAGGAGGAGGAGGAGGAGGAGGAGGAGGGGAGGATGAGGAAGGAGGGGGAGGAGGAGGAGGAGGAGGAGGAGGAGAGATGGAGGAGGAGGATGAGGGGAGGAGGAGGGGGAGGAGGAGGGGGGAGGAAGGAGGAGGAGGAGGAGGAGGAGGAGGAGGAGAGGAGGAGCAAGAGGAGGAGGAGGAGGAGGAGGAGGAGGAGGAGGAGGAGAAAGGAGGAGGAGGAGGAGGAGGAGTGGAGGGAGGAGGGGGAGGCTGTTGGAGGAGGAGGAGGAGGCAGCGAATGGAAGAGGAGGAGTATGAGAAGAGGAGCGGAGGAGGAGGAGGCAAGTAGAGGGGAGGAGGGAGGATGTGAGGAGTGAGGGAGTGAGCGGTGAGGGAGGAGGCAGCAGTGGAAGAGGGAGAGCCGGGTAGTTTTGAGTGCACCAAGAGGAGGGCGGAGCGCGCCTTTGCCGCGGCGCCGGAGCCCGCCGCTGCGGCACAGCCAGGCGATACGAAGCACAATTCATCGTCCATCCTACATACTAATTCCTCCTCCCACCAACTTCCTTGTCCCTCCCTCCATACCCACATCCCTCCTCCTCCTCCTCCTCCACTCCTCTCCTTCTCTCCTCCTCATCCCTCCTTGTCCTCCTCCCTCTTCTCCCTCCGTTCCTACCTCCTCCTCCTCCCTCATCCTCCTCCTCCTCCTCCTCCTCCTCTCCTCCATTTGGTCCCCTCCCTCCTCCTCCTCCTCCTCCTCCTCCTCCTCCTCCTACTCCTCCTCCTCCCCGGGCCTACTGCTTCTTGGCTCAGCTGCCTCGACACGCCCGCTTCGAAACGCAACACGTGCTCAAAGCGTGCATGTCAATACGTTGTGTGTAAGCTCCGCGTATTCGCCCACGTGTTGGCGAACGTGTCGCGCGTCAGACCTACGTTTTTGCTTAGTCTGTGCGTTGAGCTCCGTGACAATACGCTGTGTCTTGCGCGTTGCGCATCGGGGCAGCTAGGCTGGGGCTGCTTCTTGCCTTTTGTTGAATTCGAGCTTCTCGATCGCTGTGGGCCTGGTCGAAGCCCAACTTGGCTGGGCAAGCCCGCAAGCACCCGTTCGGGCGTAGCGTCACCAGCGCTGCCTCGCGGCGAACACCCAACGGACGCTCTGCTTGTCCTCGTCGTCGTCGTCCTCCTCGCTCGTCAGCTCCATGCCGACACAACGGGTCGCCATGGACGAGCCCTGGACCAGCGCTCCGTACTTCGAGGGGGTGCCGAGGGCACGGAGGGGCTCCTCCGGCATCGCGGCCCGCTCCGCTGCGTCGATGACCTTCTGTGTGGCTGACTTCGCGGCCTCGCCGAGGCGAAAGACGAGCTGCTGCATGCCCACGTCGGGCGCTTGCCCAGTGGGTTCCCCTTGACCTCGCCCTCCCCCGGGTCCTCTCGCGCCTTCTTGTTGGCTTTCTCGTGCTGGTCCCCGCCAGCTGCGAGAGCGCTCTGCAGCTGGCTGTCCTCCAGCGGCGTGACCGCGAAGGTGTCGTCCCTCGTGCCCCGCGGTTCGTGTCCTCGCGCTGCAGGAGCAATTTGGCCACGAGGAGCGTGTGACGACGTGTCCGCGGCCCCGCCCTGGCTGCCGGCGGCTGCCTCCTCTCCCCCGTTGTCCTCTCCCTCCTCTGCCGCACGCTTGGCCCCCTCGACCGTCTCTTCGATCGGCGCGAACATCGACGTCGCCGTGGCGCTCCGGAGGTGGAGGCGAGCCTGGAGGCGTTGGTGGAGGCAAGCCCTGAGCCCCGGCGGCTGGTACAGCATCAGGGCGCGGCGCACGGCACTGCCCCCAGCGAGCATGCGTCGCGAGACGATCGTTCTGGGTGGCTTGCCTCAGACACCGAGGGTACTGCTGTGCTAAAGCCTTCTCCAAGGACAACCCGTGGGTCTCGCTGCGACATGGTGCACGCGAGAACGGTGATGATCAAAACATCCTGACCTTGCGCTGGCTTCCGCTGGCGGATGCGCCGCCTTTCTGCAGCAAGCACCATGGGAAACGTTCGTGGGGCACCTGCTGGGCTACTCTACGTCCGCAAGCTTCCGCCATCTTTCCGCCTGCTTCCGCCATGGGCAAGTTGCCCCGAATGCGATGCCCTTTCCCGTTGAAGGAACACTGTGCAACAAGCGCTGAGAAAACACTTCGCGTGTCCCCCCATTCACCCCCCTGCCTTAAGATCGAAGAAGTGTTTCCAGGGAGGCGGGACTGAGACCATCATGAACCCAACATCACGAACGCAAGAGTTTCCAGTGTTCAGGCCCAGGGGGCGGAGGGGGGAGTCGGTTTCTTGATTCTCTTGCACCTTGTGTCTAGAGCTCTAGAGTTTCGACCACTATATAGTGGCGTCGCCCGCCCCCCTTCCCCCCTCTGCCCCGCCCCCGCCCCCCTCCGCCCCGACCGCTTATTTTGGCGTCGCACCCCCGCACCCCTCCCCTCCTCCCGTTCCGCCTCGCAGGTCACCGCCCCCGCCCCCCCCCCCCCCGACCACTTCATGTCACCCCACCCGTCCCTCCCCCTCCGCCCCGACCACTTTATTCTGGCGTCGTACACATCCCCTCTCCCCCTCCGCCCCTCACGCCACCACCCCCTCCCCTCTCCTCCCCGACCGCCTTATCCGGGCGTTGCACACACACACACACACACACACACACACACACACGCACGCACGCACGCACGCACGCACGCACGCACGCACGCACGCACGCACGCACGCTCGCACACACGCACGCTCGCACGCTCACACACACGCACGCACGCACGCACGCACGCACGCACGCACGCACACGCACGCACGCACGCACGCACGCACGCACGCACGCACGCACGCACGCACGCACGCACGCACGCACGCACGCATCGCACGCACGCACGCATCCTCCTCCTCCTTCTCCTCCTCCTCGCACGTCTCCTCCACGCCTGCTCTTCTCCTCCTCCTCCTCCTCCTCCTCCTCCTCCTCCTCCTCCTCCTCCTCCTCCTCCTCCTCCTCCTCCTCCTCCTCCCCCTCCCCCTCCCCCTGCCCCCCCACCCTGGGTGTGCAAGAGCCCGGCCGCGCGTGTCGCTTGTTGCTCGGGCGCTGCTGCTGCTGCAGCAGTCTTGCTCGCCCAACCGCCCGGAGCGCCCTGCCGCTTGACGGCCTCCCTTCAGGAGCGGCCTCCAGGGGCTGGAGCCGATCCTGGCGCAGTGCGGGGTGCAGTCCGTCGCGCGGCTGGAGCAGCTGAGCGAGGGCGAGTGCGCAGAGCTCGACCGTGCCCCCCCCGCCGCCGCCTCCGTCGATCGCCGCCGATGCGAGTGACCCGCACGCTGGTTGGCCGTCGCTCGCAGACGGCTGCCGTCGGCGGCCTGCATCGGCGACGGCAGTCTCGGCGCGGCCTCACTGCTGCACCCTGGAGGTGCCACGTCAGAGCCAGGTTGGAGCGGGTGCTTCGCAAGCCTCCCTCGTCTGGCATCTCGGGAAGAGAAGCTGCAGGTGCTCGAGGATGCCCCCAAACAGCCAAACACATCGATCGATCGCCCAGAGGCCCAGACCTTCGATCTAAGTTCGATCCGGTTGTTCTACATCCTCGGCTGTCTTACAGTCGACCCGCAGGGTAAGGATAGGCATCCCTCCCAAGGGTACCCTTGCATCCTTGCTTCCTGGGTCCATCCTTGGACACTTTCGTTGGCTGCGCCCCGCTCGAAACGCTTCGAAATGGGCGTCCAAGGGCCTTGCATCCTTATCGCGCATCCTTACTTTGCGGGTTGACTGTACTTGCTCGATGAGGTCCCCAGGCAAAAGAGAACAAATCGACTGGTCGCCCAGAGGCTCGGGCGATCGATCACGGCTCGAACAGGTGCTCGCAGATCTTTTTCGTCATAGTTGTTGGGTGAAGTCCCCAAGCAATTCGAAGCTTTGTATTCACAGCCCGAAGGTTCAGACGATTGATCGAGGTTCGCGGAGGTTCGAGAAGGTTTGAGACCCTGCTGGGTTCGAGGTTCATGGAGGTCGTATCGCAAGTGTCGATCCCTAAGGGTGGTTTGTCGGGCCCCCTTGTTTTCAGAAGTGAGTCCGAGGCGAAACACCTGCCCCTTGGGAAGGAGTAGTCGTGTACTCGTCGCCGTCGGCTACAGTCGTCGACGTGGTCGTCGTCGACGTCGTCGTCGTCGTCGTCGTCGTCAGCGTCGTCGTCGTCGTCGTTTTCGTCTCGACGGTTTAGATGGCTTTTTTGGAGATCTCGTCGCCATTGTCAGACGCAGCTCGAACCAAGTGGCCAGGATGAAGATCCTCGAGAGGGGTCGCGGGACAGGTCTTAAGCGGAGTTCGTCGTCTGCTATCGTCGTCGCCGTCGAGAATCGAGGATCGTGGTCGGTGCAGCCCACCTGTCTCATCGCCGAGGATCACGGAGGGGGACGGGAGGAGCAAAGGAGGACAAAACACCCCGATCCCCCAGAATTGGCGTTTGCTAAACAATCTTGCGCGTTTACTCAGCAGTCCTGGCCTGTTCGATTCCTTCCTCAGGTGCATTTGCGACTGGGTCTCGCTTGCAGTGGTGTTTATTATTATCAGGGTGGCCGTCTGCCCTCTGGATGGGGGGAGGAGTATGTTATTCGAAGCTGCAAAAGGGGGGTCCTGTGGGCCCCACGTGGACCTAGTAAGCTGTCGGGGGTTCCAGGTGGAAAGGGGGGAGGAGGAGAAAGAGAAGAGGGCGCACGAGGAGGCGAGGGACGGGGAAAGAAGGAGGAGGGTGGCAGGGAGGAGGATGTTCTCGGAGGTGCGTGTGCCGTTGCGCCGTGCTGGCAGGATTTCTGAGGTCGTGAAGTTGTTCTGGATGGGGGGGGCTCATGGAGGCTGCTAGATGTTACGTAGGGAAAGGGAAGAGGAGGAGGAGGAGGAGGACCAGTGTAAGCCCACGAGTCATCAACGATGTTGGAATAAACCCTCCCTCCACGCTCCCTCTTCACAGGCCCCTACAAGGGTTCATGTCCACTGAGGGAACTGCTTCGTTGGAAGGCAACCGGTTGAAGACCCTGAAGCATGCCAAAACATTATTCTCGGGACTCCAACGCCACGGATTAAATTGACTGTTGCGTCTTGACGATCCTGAATCGTCCCAGGACGGTTTTCCTGGGACTTCAGCACCGCGAATCAATGTGACCGTTGCACCCTTATTCTTGAATCTTGCCAAAGCACCACTTTTGGTACCTTGACCATGTGAGTCCGTGAAACCTTCGGAAATTCTTGAAACAAATGTGCGCGGCGCTATGGCGAGAACCACATTTTGAAAACCATCCGCCCTCAATCCGTGAAGCCCTTGCACATGTTTAAAGAGGAATGCGCGTGGCGTTGAGGCGAGAGCCACATTTTGAAAACGGCCCGCCCTCAATCCGTGAAGCCCTTGCAAATGAAGTGTGCGCGGCGCGGAGGCGAGAGCCACATTTTGAAAACGACCCGCCCTCCATCTACGAAATTGTTGTCATTTTTTCTTTCAGAGTCATAAGTGGTGAGGAAGTCCAAGGCGAAACGTCCGGTCCGCCTTTCTGACCGTCCTCGGGGTGCGACACGGAGAAATTATCTACCAGGAAAAATGGAGGGAGGAGGAGGAGGATGTGAAGTGGGAGGTGTATCAATCAGAAGAACGAGGGGGAAATCCTCTTCGACACCCCCCATGAGAATCCTGACCCCCCCCCTGCGTCCTCAACCTCGTTCTCCTCCTGCCGCTGTCGCTGCGGGTCGGTATCTGGTGAGCACCTGGAACCTTCGACGCCCTCCCCGCTGGCCTTCGCCAGGAGAGGGGGAGGAGGGGGGGGGAGTTTGCCCTCAGCCTCAATACGCAGAGGTAAGGGAGACAAGAGGGACACGCAATTTTCTCTTCTTTACAAGCGCGAGGAAGCACTGTGGCACCAATGGAAGGGAGAGGGGGAGGGGGGAGGAAAGAGGGAAGTGAGGACGCGCCCTCGCGCCCCGGCGAATGCGCCGATTCATGCTGGCCCCCCCGGCCGTTTGAGAAGGCGCTCGACGATTTGAGGACCTGCGACGCAGCGAGCCTACAGGAATCCTCGGGAGTCCTCTGGATTCCTCAGCAACCATTAGGAGTCCTGGGGAATCCATGCGGATCGTCAGGAATCCCTAGGACCCGGGGGAATTTTAGGAATCCGTATGAATCAAATAGGCAGGAGGGAGACGAGAGGAAGCTGCAACAGGGCGAGACCAGAGAGCGCTGCGGGCGGCTGTGCGTGGTTGGAGAGAAGGAGGAGGAGGAGGAGGAGGAGGAGGATTTCCTCGAGGGCCCCAGGGCAGAACATCAAAACCACGGCCTCAGGCCGAGACTGCTGCGCGAGAGGCCTCCTCTCTCAGCCGAATCCTCTCCGCCAGGGCCGACATTCCAGGTGTCGAAATCAGGCCCGAGCGGGAGGAGGAGGGGGAGGACGGTCCAGGCTCAGCTGCTTTGAGCAGGACATACCTGGCCGAGGCACGACATGTGGTGCCCTCGCTTGCAGCGACCGTGCCCCGATTCCTGTAATGGGGCGGGAGACCTCGACGGATGCGGGACAGTGCACCTCGCCCGCTGGGGCCAGGAGGTCCGCACATCCCACCGAGGAGGTAACACCGCTTGCTGGTGAAGGCACCACAGCGGAAACAGAAAACAGTAGGCGCACACTCGTCATCCTGTAAGAAAGTCGTGCACAGGAGGTGGCCACGCTCGCTCTCGGCACCTTGCAATCTGCGGAGCGCAGTGGGCAGGCCCTTGCAGCCGTCCATGGGTCTGCTGTCTCCAATCGCCGTCTTAAAACATCTCGAACACCTAGCGAGCGAGGGAGTTTCGTCATCCCCTGGGTCCAGCACACGCCAGTCATGCCACTCAATGGCACGGTGGGCCCGAGCTTTCACCCGCGGAACCGTGGGGTCCCGAACAAACTGTAACTTGGGAAAGAGAGACAAAACAGCACCGAACATGGCAACTAGCTTTCGCAGTAGAGCCACGTCCTTGTCTAATTGCTCGAGCTCCTCAACGGGTAACGAGGGGTGAAGAGACAAAGCATGCTTCGCCAGTCGGTCCGCGTCCTGGTTCCCAAGAGCGATTTTTCGTTCCTGGGCGGGAAGCGCGGCTATCACTTCGTCCGACCTGTGCGCAGGCGTGTGAGCAAAAGATGCGATGCTTCGCTGGCCTGGCTCCTGGAGAGCGCGCCGTCTGAGGCCAGCGAATGCCTGTCCAGGGTCCAACTGTACGGACTGGCGCGCATTGGCTAGGTTGACAACTCCGAGACAGTCCGAGTGGGCCTCACTAAGGCCTGTGGCCACACAAGAGAGAGTGGCAGCCCCGAGGTGTTCTCCCGACTGGGCCGTCTGAGGAAGGCCAGGCCACACCGTTCCCAGAAGTCGAGCGCGAACCTCATACGGGGTCTCGCTCGACGGATCGAAGAAAACAGCAGCACACGTGGCACGATTCAGCTCACGAAAAGCAAACTGAGTAGCCGAACCATCGACAACAATGCGGGTGTTGACGGTTCGTTCACAAAACTCTTCGACCGATAGTGGCTCACCTGACGGCCCTTGGAGAAGGGGGTCGAGGTCGAGGCAAGGGGGGGGGGGCCTCAGGCTGAGCCACCATTAGCCGAGACCAAAACAGCAATTTTTCAGGCGGGCAGTTACAAGCCGCTAGCATCTCTTCGTCTGAGAGATGCTCACGGCGTGCAGCTTCGACGGTCGGGTCCGAACACAGAAACTGCCTGTGGACTATGGAATCAGGCTCCCCACAGAGGGGACACAAACCGTCCGAAACGTACCCCGAGGACTTGAGCCGATCCGCAGTCCAGCAGGCCCCAGAGAAACACGCAGAAAGCCAGTATTTCTGCCGACCGTCGAGCTTCTTAGAGCGTAGCATTCGTCTCAGGGGATCGGGTGAGACGCGGGAAGAAGTGAACATCGGAGTGGCCTGGGCCATCCTACGCTCGTGCATCCGCTGGACGCCCTTCTCTAGCAACTTATTGAGGAGGGCGGGCGAGGTGCACAGGAGGTCAATGACGTATCCTCGCTCATCGTGCCAAACTGAGAAGTCCACCGCCTTCCAGCCGATCCTGTGCAAACATAAGAGCATCCTGTGAATGGGGCCTTTCGATTTCCGCCATCCCGTGGATTCCAGATCGAGCTCCTGAGACTGCACAACATCCCTCCATATCTGTATGTGCTGCCGAAACGAGAATGGAGAAGTAGATGGGGTGGTTATCGACCTCCAGAGGCTGGTCGCCCACTGATGGGCAGGGGCCACCG